TACTATGAGGCTTTCTTGGGCTCAGCCCCATTCAGAAGCATATGTTTCAATTTTCTTGAGAGGGCCCAATGCAAATTAGAATCTTAAAAAAAAAAAGCTGGATAAATACCCTTGACATAGCCATTGAATTGTGACTCTAATGACCAAATCTTGAAAACCCAATTGAATTCTAAATACAGTTTTGCCATTAGATCCTGGTAGGTCAGAACGTTGGATCACTCACACAGTTTTCTTGGAACAAAATTCAATTCACCATAATTAACACCAATACCCAACTCGGTCATGATGGTGAGCTGTGTTTAGGGATTTCTGAAAGCAAAAGGGAACCAAGTGCCCTAGGATCCAAATGCTGCAGGCTGGAGAGCTGATGGTTACCCCAGGGACTATGAAATTAGACCTCACTCCAGCCTCCAACAGTTTAAATCATGAACAACTTTATGTGAGTAGAGTCCTGGGAAGTCTTTAGTAACACTCACCTGAAGATACCCCAGTCAGTAAAAGGCACCACACTAGATTCAGTGAGGAGTACAAAGAGAAGGCAGTCTAATCAATCAGGGAAAACACACGAAATTATGTAAATTAAGGCCACAGAGGAGAAAAATAATACTCTACATGGTTCAAAGAGATCACAACAGGCTAGACCATGAGGATAAGCTTTAGAGTAGGAAGATTTGAGCTACACTTGAATGACAGGCAGAGAGGTGAAGCAGAAATCATGAAATAAGTAAGAGTGGTCTACTTTGGCTGCAGCAGCAGGTGTCAGGCAAATAGTTATGGAAGCAAGGCCAAGATAGGATGAGGAAAAATTGCGGAGAGCTTGGAATGTCTGGATAAGGGGTCAAAGCTAGTCTAAGAAGCACATTAGAAAAACAAATTCCAGTATGTGGGATCAACAAGAAGGAAGAGAAAATAAAGGTAGAAAACTTGCCAGAAGGCCAGGCACAGTGGCTCACGCCTGTAATCCCAGAACTTTGGGAGGCCAAGGCAGGTGGATCACCTCAGTTAAGAAGTTCAAGACCAGCCTGGCCAATATGGCGAAACCCTATCTCTGCTAAAATACAAAAATTAGACGGGCGTGGTGGTGCATGCCTTTAATTTCAGCTACTAGTGGAACTGAGGCAGGAGGACTGCTTGAATCTGGGTGGTAGAGGTTGCAGTGAGCCGAGATCGTGCCACTGCACTCCATCCTGGGCAACAGAGTGAGACTCCATCTCAAAAAAAAAAGCCCTGCCAGAAAAAAGTGATTTCAAATCAAGAGACATATGTTTGACTCATAACCGAAACAGATTTAAAAAAAGATCTAAAGGACATTTCTGGGACAATTGGGGAAACTTAAATATGAACTGTATACTGGAAAACGATATTTGTTAATGTTAAATTTCCCAACTATGTTCACTGTGCTATGCATCATCAGAGAATTATATACAACATATTATATAAGAATATCCTTAGGCCGGGCGCAGTGGCTCAAGCCTGTAATCCCAGCACTTTGGGAGGCCGAGGCGGGTGGATCACGAGGTCAAGAGATCGAGACCATCCTGGTCAACATAGTGAAACCCCATCTCTACTAAAAATACAAAAAAAATTAGCTGGGCATGGTGGTGCGTGCCTGTAATCCCAGCTAGTCAGGAGGCTGAGGCAGGAGAATTGCCTGAACCCAGGAGGCGGAGGTTGCGGTGAGCCGAGATCGCGCCATTGCACTCCAGCCTGGGTAACATGAGTGAAACTCCGTCTCAAAAAAAAAGAATATCCTTGTTCTTAGAAGACATCTATTGACATATTTAAGGATGAAATGTAATAATGTCTGCATCTAACTCTCAAAATGATTCAGGAAAAATGTATATATGTACATAGAGACAAAAGCAAGTATGCCAAATGTTAATAGTTGGTGAATCCAAGAACAAGATACAAAGGACTTTAGAGAAAGAAGCAACAGGTTTAGTGATTGACTCTGGATCTTGGGAAGGAGGAAGAGGTATAAAAGGCTTTGAAAGTACATGACAAAGGACGGTAGTAACACACCTGGAAAAGGGAAGCTGTAGGGAGAAATGGTTTTCAGAAGACATCTGCTGAAGCTGGCTCTGGCTAAGTGGCAAGAAGATACCTAGATGTGAGAATGACATTAGGGAGAAATGCTTTCAGGAACAGGACTCAGGCCACACATCAAGACTAGAATTACCAATTTTTGAATTTTTTTTTTGAATTTTTTTTTAATACTCAAGTTTTGCTTCAAGATCTAGAACATGAAAAATGGATGAGATTTATGCTAGAAATGAGAGGGAAAAGAGAGAGGTGAGAGATGACTGACAACGTAACTTCCTGATAGAGTGAGAAGAGAACAGGAGAAAAATCAGGAGGGTTCTATATGATAGAAACAAAGGTGGAAAAAGGTTAAGAGAGGGCTCCACTGAAGGGCTGCCAGCATCAGATAGCACAGAAACATTAAAGAAGGTGATGACTGGGAAACGGCCAGGAAATCATCAGTGACTTTTGGGATTCTGACTCTAGAAAGAGAACAGAGGAAGCAGAATTAAAGACTGGGTGTAAATCACCCACTCGTTCAAGTTCACCTTGAATGAAAACAATGGAAGCTGAACTACAGTTAGAGGCAGGAGAGCCATGGGGAGAGCTCTATTCTCTCCAGGATGGGGTGTCCTGGGGATTTGTAGATACAGAAGAACAAACACTAGGGACACCTTAGAGACCAGGGCAAGAAGCGGGATTACAGTGTGTGTCAGGGAGAGACAGACAGAGGACTTGGCTCTAGAAATGAAATAAATAAACCCTCCTTTAACATAGGAAGAAAAGGAGAGAGATGAGGTGGAAAGGAGTGGTAACAAAACAACTTAGGAGGGAAAACAAGAAATCACAAGATGAGGAATAAACAACTTGGCAGGGCAGGAGGAATTCAGTCACATCCGGTCTTTACACAGGCCTACCACTCCGGCTACATCTGCTGAAGGGGATGGGGGAATTCAGTCACATCTGGTCTTTACACAGGCCTACCACTCTGGCTACATCTGCTGAAGGGGATGGGGGAATTCGGTCATATCTGGTCTTTACACAGACACCGGCTACATCTGCTGAAGGTGATGGGGCATCTATCCATGACTATCTAATGCAGATCTCAAAGGCCTAGGAACTGATGAGAGTTTATAACTCTGAGGTGAAGAGATTCTTTAGTTAAAAACAGAGTTCAAGGTGATACTCCTATTGTCGTAGGATAAGGCTTTTGTTAATCTTAGTAAAAAGGTCATTTTTAAATTATCAATGGAAGATCTACCTAAATTAGCAACTGCTCTCTATGAGGGCAAAGATAAGCTTGGAATCCTATGCAAAGGAGGCCACCTATTGGAAGCCACCACAAGACACTCTAAAGCTGAGTAGGGGAGGCCTCTGATTCCTTGCATCACCCATTTTCAAAAATCTCAGGAGATCTCAACAGTTATTTCCTAATACTGCGTGAACAACAAAAATAAAGTTTCATAAGCTGTAAAAGAAATCTGCAGTGGCAGCAAAATACTTTATGGAACCTATCTGAAGATAAGACATATGAGGAGTAGCAACATTCTTATGGCCTTTTATTATCTTTTAAAAGCCATGTCAAATAAAATGGCTGGAACTGGAATTACTTTATGGCTCTAGCAAGTATCCTCACAGATGTTTACAAAGCAGTATTAGAATGATGATGCAAAAAAAATCACGATTACCTCAGGAGATGGAAAAAAAGCTTTTGATAAATTGTAACATCCTTTTATGATTAAAAATCCTTGGTAGGAAGAGAGAGGAAGAAATATCTTTAACCTGATCATCTTTACAAAAAACCCGAAAGCAAATACTGTACTTCATGGTGACAGGATGAAAGCTTCCCTTTCAAACCAGGAATCAGAGCAGTTGCCCACTGTCACTGCTTCTATTCAATACCACTTCTAAAAACAATTTTTTTTTTTTTTTTTTGAGACGGAGTCCTGCTCTGTCACCCAAATTGTAGTGCAGAGGTGTGATCTCGGCTGCTGGGTTCAAGCAATTCTCCTGCCTCAGCCTCTTGAGTAGCTGGGACTACAGGCACACTACCACACCCAGCTAATTTTTGTATTTTTAGTAGAGACGGGATTCACCATATTGTCCTGGCTGGTCTTGACTCCTGATCTCAGGTGATCTGCTCGCTTCAGCCTCCCAAAGTGCTGGGATTATAGGTGTGAACTACTGTGCCTGGCCCTTACAAATACATTTTTAAAACACAGGCAGACAACCTCACAGAAGAAAGAAAAAAGGCCTTGAATAAATGCTTCACTAGAGAGGACCTCCTAATAGCCAACAGATAATAAAAGATGCTCATCTTCATGAGAAATGCAATTAGAATGACAATGAAATACCAGTACATACCCAGTAGTTCCATCAAAATTAAGTTCTATATCCATCAGTCAGGATAGGCTTGGTTAAGCAGCAGTAACAATTTTAATATTTCCTGGCTTAAATTACTGAGTTTATTTCTCTCAAACTATACACACATACACTATGGGTCCACTTGGGGGCACTGCTCTACCTCATCCTCAGTTTGCGACCCAGGCCCCAGCAGGCTGTGTGTCCATGCTTCCACAAATGCCAAGGGAGAAAAAACATATATATTTATCTGTGCACTGGCACCTAAGTTTTGACTAGAAGTGACACACGGCACTTCCACTCACATTTCATTGGCTTAAGCAAGTCACATGGCTACACCTAACTTGAAGAAGGCATAGAAGTATAATTTTACCATGTGTCCTGAAGGGGAAAGAACTGTAAATATTCAGTTAACAGTTCTAATGACTGCCACGCTGAGAATATAAACTTTTGGTGAGCATATGGAGCAATGGGAACACTCACCACCCCCCCACTGGTGGAAGTATAAATCGATACAATCACTCTGGAAAGTCTGGCATTATCTAATAAAGTGGCAGATACAATGGCCTACAGTCCGAGGCCTTGAGCCTCAGACTTCTTTTGCCAGTGCTGCAGACCTGCTGGTGCCTTTGTGCTTCCCGTTTCTTCCTTCTAGAAGCCTCATCTATGACCCAGCAATTGCACTGTTAAAAGAAATAGATGTTTCAAGAAAATGTACAAAAATGTACAATAGCATCCATTTTCAAGAATATTCATGACAACATATTTCATAAAAGCTCCAAACTCAAAACAATCTAGTTCCATCAGTCATAGAATGGATAAATTCATACAATACAATCCTATGCAGCAATGAAACTACCTAAGGATACATGTAACAAAATGGGTGATTCTTACAAATAACGGAGTAAAGAAGATAAAACACACACACAAAATGTTTATTTTCAAAGTCACCTTGGAGGCTGGGCGCAGTGGCTCACGCCTGTAATCCCAGCACTTTGGGAGACCCAGGTGAGTGAATCATCTGAGGTTAGGAATTTGAGACCAGCCTGGCCAGCATGGTGAAACCCCAACTCTATTAAAAATATAAAAATCAGCCAGGTGCGGTGGCAGGTGCCTATAGTCCCGGCTACTTGGGAAGCTGAGATAGGAGGATCACCTGAACCCGGGAGGCAGAAGTTGCAGTGAACTGAGATCACGCCACTGCACTCCAGCCTGGGTGACAAGAGCAAAATTCCATTAAAAAAAAAAGTCGCTGTGGAGGCATACTCTGGGTTACCTAGACAATGAACTAGCTTAGACTAGGGGGTTAGGAGGCTACCCCTTTTCCCAGTAAGATAGGCTGCACCCAAGCACAACTTCCCACAGGACCTGCAGCTGTCTTTTCCAGGTGTGTATTATCCCACAGGTCCCCAAGTTTGCAGGTGTTGGGCAGCTGGCATTCCCAGACAACTTCTTTTCTTTTTTTCTTTTTTTTTTTTGAGATGAAGTTTCGCTCTTGTTGCCCAGGTAGTGGCGCAATCTCGGCTTACCACAACCTCTGCTTTCCAAGTTTAAGCTATTCTCCTGCCTCAGCCTCCCAAGTAGTTGGGATTACAGGCAGGCACTGCCATACCCAGCTAATTTTGTATTTTTAATAGAGAAGGGGTTTCGCTATGTTAGTCAGGCTGGTCTTGAACTCCTGACTTCGTGATCCATCCCCCTCAGCTTCCCAAAGTGCTGGGATTACAGGTGTAAGCCACTGCACCAGGTCCCCAGACAACTTCTATAAGCAGCTGGCAAACAAATACAGATTTCCTAGTGTCTAAGCATTTTGCATCTCTCTCCACTAGTAAGGTTACTCTCATAGGTGTCTGATAAAAAAGAGAGCACTGGGGGAGCAGCGTGATGGGGAGTCATTCCAGCAGAGATGCCCCAATACACTTCTCCATAGGGACAAGGTGGGGGTGCGGGATCTGTGCCTTCTCTTTTGCTTTGAAAATTCCCCCTTTCCTAGTAAAATCTACCCCTGAACCTACACCTGAGATGTTAAGAAATTTATCTGCCGTCTGGTGAGCAACAGGCGGCATCTTCAAAGAATCCACTTTGCATACCGAGTGGTAACTTCCAAAGTAACACCTTGTACTTAACAATGTTTTCTTTCTCTCTCTCTCTTTTTTTTTTTTTTTTGAGACAGAGTTTCGCTCTTGTTACCCAGGCTGGAGTGCAATGGCACGATCTCGGCTCACTGCAACCTCCGCCTCCCGGGTTCAGGCAATTCTCCTGCCTCAGCCTCCTGAGTAGCTGGGATTACAGGCACACGCCACCATGCCCAGCTAATTTTTTGTATTTTTAGTAGAGACGGGGTTTCACCATGTTGACCAGGATGGTCTCGATCTCTTGACCTCGTGATCCACCCGCCTCGGCCTCCCACAGTGCTGGGATTACAGGCTTGAGCCACCGCGCCCGGCCTGCTTCTTTTTTTTTTTTTTTTTTTTTTTGAGGTGGAGTCTCACTCTGTTGCCCAAAATGGAGTGCCGTGGTGCTATCTCAGCTCACTGCAACCTTCGCCTCCCGGGTTCAAGCAATTCTCCTGCCTCAGCCTCCCAAGTAGCTGGGATTACGGTACCCACCACCACACCCAACTAATTTTTGTACTTCTGGTAGAGACAGGATTTCACCATGTTGGCCAGGCTGGTCTTAAACTGCTGACCTCAAGTGATCCGCCTGCCTCGGCCTCCCAAATTACCGGGATTACAGGCATGAGCCACCACATCCGGCCTGTATTTAACAATATTATTTTAAAATAATAATAAAGCCTACAGAAGACACCCCTCCATTCCCCCTATATTTTGAGAGACAAAACTTGACTACACTAGACTGTCATCCAAACTCAAGAATGCATTCACTACATTAGCCTGGAAAGTGGGGATCTGCCAACCTCAGAGAGTCAACTAAGACTGAAGACCCTACTGAAGAACAACAAGCAAGTCCTTTAGACAGCAATGCTAGTGATGAGGGATCTAAAAGCTCCTGCTTCATCATGATGAAACAGTTAATCAAGGATCATGGCTTAGCAATGAGTAGCAGTCTCCTAAAAATCATCACTCTCCAAGGGCCAGGGATCATAACGACAACCATCAGTTGAAGAAAAACCAGGACCAAGCACACCAAAGATGCACCAGTAAACTGCAGAGGGGACAGCCTGTGAGAAGCTGAATCAAACTAACATGGCAATTCTTATCCCCTTGCTGGCTACCTCCCAAGTTTAATGTGGCACATGAGGACACAGGCCATGTCACGGTTATACTGGCAAAACAAATCTGAGAACACGTACTTGGGGCCATTTTGATTCTGCCTCTGATAGTCTGCTTTCCTATAGAATATCACCTGACCTTGAATTATTACAGATCTCTTAGTCACTATATTACTCTTTAGGAACGATATAAATTTTACTATCTAAGTCAAAGCCCCTGTGTCATGATTATTCCAAAGTTTCATGGTCACTGGCCTATGACAAGGAAACTAATTTTAGAATCAACATCAAACTATTCATCTCACCTTTGGCCAGATAGCCAGTGACACCGTTCTCCTATATCAAGAAGTCTGTATGTAAACAGATGAACCAAGCCTAGTAATAATCTTATGTATGTTAAAACTGTTAACAGATCTTAGCAATAAAAAAAAAAAAAAAAAAAAAAAAAAAAACTCAAAACTATTAAACCTATTAAATAAAACAGGATTTAGGACTATCTCAGGTGAAAAAAAAAAAGAAAGAAAGAAAGAATATGAAGGTGTAGAGGTGGCTAGAGATGCCCAAGGCTCTTGATTTTCTAGTAACCCTAGTTTGGAAGAGAATTGCAAGAGAATGTACCTTATCCATATGGAAGATCAAATCCAATTCACACACATTTTCAAAACACTTATCCAGAGTCTCCACAAAAACCTAGGAAACAAGAAGAAATAGATAAAGAAGAGAAATAGGAATATATTCACAGTTTTATCAATGTCACATCTGAAAGTAAAAGGGGCAGTCACAATACTATTTATGATGATTAAAAAAAAAAAAAAAAAGCCTACCTTTTGTCTCTAGCGTTAGCTGATCACCCTACTTCTCACAATTCAGAGGGAATCATCTGGGATAGGAAAACCTTGCTTTCAGCAACACAACCAGCAGATACCTGGGGCTCTCTACCCCTTTCTAAGATGCTAATTTATGGTGAGGCATAATGGCTCATGTTTACAATCTCAGCACTTTGGGAGGCCAGGGCAAGCAGATCACTTGAGGTCAAGAGTTTGAGACCAGCCTGGCTAACAAGGCAAAACCCCATCTCTACTAAAAACACAAAAATTAGCTGGGTGTGGTGACATGAGCCTGTAGTGCCAGCTACTTGGGAGGCTGAGGCATGAGAATAGCCT